GCTATACCTCCCGAGTGGCCGCCTGCAGGTAACCTCTGTCCCTGTAGGCATCGGGCCTGTGCTCCTGACCTAGATGACTTCTAGTGCCTTCCTGGTGCTGGCTGTCTCTGGTTCTACGACTCTCAAGGGCACCGCCCTCCACAAGTATTTGACACTCCTGCTTCCTGAGTCAATTATCCCTTTCAGAAAACTGGAGGGAGAAATGATACAATTAACTACCTGAGAGAAAGTGAACAGAGCAACAAGCTGTAACTACCGAGACCCACAGTGGAGACTGAAGCCCGGGGCCTCATTTGACCTCACCCAGCTAACAGTGGTCTGATGCTTCCCTGGTTGGAAGAGATCAGCCAGGCCAAGCCCAGTTCATGCTTAGAGCCACAGCCTTCACAGAGCAGGACAAGAAGAGGCCTCAGCCAGCCCCCAGGCTCCACCCCTCCCCATCAAGTAGCCAGGATCAGAATCAACACCCCAGAAGGGCAAATCCTTTCCTCATGCACTGTGCCCAGGAAACAGTTACTCTGTCCCTAATTTGGGGCCTGGACACTGGTGTGTCGTTGGATCCTCGCATCCCAGCCTCAAACCACGGACCAGATAAATCAAGTTGAACTGACTTCAAAGCAAACACTGAGCAGAGCCATCTGTGATTCATTCCTGAGCGGGCCCTTTTCTAGTTATGTAACCAGAGAGATCCAGACAGAAAGACACAGCTTGGAAGAACTTTTTTTTTTTTAAAACCCCAAACTTTACAGTATTGGGATAATTATGGCTTTCATAGTGTTGATTACTTTAAGCTGTCAGTAATTTGAGTCTCAGAGTCAGTGACCAACTTTTTGTAATTGCATTCTATCTTCCCACTTCCATCCCTAGGTAGAGAAAAAAGAGAATCCTGGGTTCACAGGGTTTCCTGCAGCGCCCCTCCCCCTGGGCACTTTGTTGTCAGGATGCTGCAATGGATACATCTCCCTCCAGGCAGCCTTCTGGGCTCATCACACACTTGCTGCCCAATCCACAGTCTTATTAGAGAATACCTGTTAGTCCCCTACCTGAAAAGAAGGGTGAAGCTTAAATTGGCTTAGGCTTTCCATGTGAATTATTCACAAATCACCCAAAATGTATATTGTGGTTTATGGATAATGGCAAATACTAGAGACTTTAAGAAACTATATTTTCCATATATTTGCAATTTTAACACTTTTTTTTCTGATTATTAAACTAATATCTATCAATAAAACAAACCAATGAAACAGAAACAGACTCACAGATATAGAGAACAAACTAGCAGTTACCAGTGAGGAGAAGGGTGGAGGGAGGAGCAAGATGGGGAAGAGGATTAAAAGGTACAAACTACTAGATATAAAATAAATAAGACATAAGGATGTAATGTACAGCACAGGGAATACATCCAATATTTTGTAATAACTTTAAATGGAGTATAATCTATAAAAATATTGAATGACTATGTTGTATACCTGAAACTAGTATAACATTGTAAATCAGCTACACTTCAATAAAAAAAATAGACGTATTAAAATATACCTATTAATGTAAAAATTCTAAAAAGTATAAAGAAAAAATATTTATCCTATGTCCTTGCCTGGGAGGATTATTCAAACGATAAGTGATACTAATATTTCAGCACATTTCCCTCCAGTCTTTGTTTCATCTATGTTTATATTTCTAGAGTTGAAACTATATTACATTTATAATCTTGTATCCTGAACTTCTACTTAAATATGTGCCCACATAATAAAAAAAACCTTCATAATCTATAAATAGCAACACTACTTCCGATGAAATGGATGTACCATAATTTAAAATAACAAACAAAAAAAATCCTCTATTATAGGACAAAGGTTGTGTCCAATGATTTACTACTGTAAATACTGCAGTGAACATCTTTAGCTATTAATTTCTATCTGCATTTCTATTTGCTTTCATAGCATCTATTCCTAGACGTGTAATCAACTCTGCATTAAAGTGTATGTAAATTTTTGAATATTCTTAATACAGTTCACAAAGATTGAACCACCTTTTCACCATTAAGTATGAGTATTCTTTTAAAACCTTACTATTTTGATAAGTAAAAAATGTAGTCTCATATTTGCATTAGTTTAGCCTTCTTTGGTTACCAGTTAAAATAGTTATTTTTTTCAAATCTTTCTTAATAATTTTCATTTTATCCCTTCTTAGAGTAGACATTGTACAAGTCCATGGACTGAAGCTAGGTATGGTTGTGAGATTCCTGGTGCAGAGGTGCTCCCACCTCAATGCAGATCACCCTAAGGCAAGAGCAGCGAGGTCTGAGAAGAAGGTTAATTGAGCCAGGATATCCAGAGGAGGAATAAGTCAGGGGTGGTTTCCATTCCTGGTTATACTGGTTATCTGTTTCTGTGTGACAAATTGCCCTCAAAACTTCATGGCTAGGGGCTTCCCTGGTGGCGCAGTGGTTGAGAGTCCGCCTGCCGATGCAGGGGACATGGGTTCGTGCCCCGGTCCGGGAGGATCCCACATGCCGTGGAGCGGCTGGGCCTGTGAGCCATGGCCGCTGAGCCTGCGCGTCCAGAGCCTGTGCTCCGCAATGGGAGAGGCCACAGCAGTGAGAGGCCCGCGTACCGCAAAAACAAAAAAACAAAAATAAAAACAAAACAAAACAAAACAAAACAAAAACTTCATGGCTTAAAACAACAAATGGTTATTATCTCAGTTTCTGTGGGTCAGAAACTCGAGGGCAGTTTAGCTGGTGCTTTGGGATTTCTCCTGTAGTTGCAGTCAAGTCACTGACTGGGGCTGGAGGAGCTGCTCCCAGGGTGGCTCATTCACATGGTTGTTAGCTGGGGACCTCAGCTCCTCACACGTGGGCGTCTCCACAGAGTGTCCTCACAACGTGAGGACAGCCTTCCCCAGAACAAATGATCAGAGAGAGAGATTAAAATGGAAGCCACTGTCCCTATTATAACCTAATTGTGAAAGTGATATACTGTTACTTCTGCCATGTTCTATTGGTCATAGAGACTCACACTGTTACAGTGTGGAAGGGAAAGATACAAGAGTGCGAAGACCAGGGGGTAAGGATGATTGGAGGCCATCTTGAAAGCTGGCTACCACCCTGGCTGTGGGTTTTCACCAGTTGCTTTTCTGAAGAGAGGAGAGAATTAGTAGCAGATAGTAGAAAACTTCTCTATGATTTTCACAATTTGCTTAATCATATATAGTTAACAATATATAGTTAACCATATATAGTTCTGTTCTCATCATAAGGCTGGTGTCAGCCAATTTGTATTGTCTCCATAACATCTGTAATTAAAAGACCCTTTGCTTACAGTTACAGTTAGAAGGAACCAAGGCCAGGAGCTCAGCTCCTGTTACATCAAGCACTGAACAAGCCACTCCCTCTCTGCTGGGGAGTGAGTGGACAGTACGGTAGTCACGCTGTGGTCACCTTGACATGTGTAATTGTCCATGTGACTAGCTATAGCTGTAGAAATAGCTCAGAGACTGTCAACCTTGCAAACTCAACAAGGACGAGCAGGGAGACACGGGGCCCAGGCTGCACTGCGTCTTCCCAGCATGGAGCCCCTCCGTCTCCCCACAGGCTGCTCTCCCACCCTCAGCCCAGCCCCACCAGTGCTGAGAAATGGGGTTGGTCTGCCTTGGAGAGGTTCACTTTCAGTCCCCAGCAAATGCCTCTTTGTCCTCCAGGCTGCCAGTTCATTTCAGCTGCCAGGGCTCAAAAAGTTCTTGCCCAAGGTTGAGAATCGGGCAGAGGTGTTCCCACTTGGGACTGCATAAATGCCCACACAGTCTACAGTGGGCCAAGCAAGGTCAGCGGGCAGTTGTAAATGCCTCCCTGACAAAGCCAGAAAGCTAGCCAGAGCCGAGCCTCGATCAGTCCTCCGTGCCGGGCAGCTGGGTGCCCACGAGAGACCCGGAGGACAGGTTGGCTCGGCTGGCAGCCTCCGGGGAGGGACTGAGGCTCAGCTTCTTCTCATAACCGGTCAGGTGTGCAGGAGGGAGATGACATTAAGAAACAGCCTCCCAGATATCTTCCTTATGCCAGGGTTTGCTTTTACTCCTCAGAGGAAGCTACTGGGGCCTCAGCAGTGATTAACTAATGCTGACCCCAGGGTTCCGGGAGTTTTAGACTCTACACAATCAAGGATTTAAGTGTGTGCATGTGTGTGCACACACACGCGCAAGTGTGCTTTTCCCCTCTTGTCATGAAAACCCACGAAACAAGAAAATCCTGGAGGCATTTATCTTTTTTCTCTAAAACATTATGCTTGAATATTCCCATTCCAGAATATCATCTAAGCCAGGCAGCAGCTCCTCTGCAGTGTGTGAGAACAGGCTTGCTTCCTGCCGAGGAATGTTTTTCCTTGTGGCTGGTGGTCTGACTTAGGCATAACTTGGTGGTACGAGGGGGATTCCTAACCCCCTCGCTAGACATTAAAGAACCACAGCTACACTGTATTACATGTCAACGATCCTCAAAGGAAACAACAGAAAGACAAAATATATTCTAGTCTAAACTCAAAAGATAAAAATATCTTTTGCTTTCCATGAAATTATACAAAAATGTATGTAATAAAGCCCTATTAGCAAATATATTTGGTTTAATTAAATTTTACAATTTAGTGTATAGTATCCCCAAGGAAGTTTTGCCATCAGATGCTGTAGCCAGGAACTAAAATGTGTGTTCCCAGAGGTTCCAGAGGTCAGTGACAAGCATTCACAGTGACATGCTGAGTAGCCCTTCCCTGATGTATTCCCCACACCCAACTCAGTGCCAGGCATGGTGAAGACTCAGTAACTGTTTGTTGGATGGGTTAATGAATGAAAGATCCTTTTCTTTGAAGGCTGTCCTGGACTGTGTTCTATCACGTGAACTTAAAGAAATCCCACTAAGAAAAAAGCAAACTGAAAAGCAGTATGTGTAGTATGATACCCATTTTTTGGCTTAAAATTAAAAATAAAACACCTCTATATATTTTTCTCTATAGAAAAATCACTGAAAGATTACACCTGGCACTGTTTATGCTGTTCACCTCTGAAGACTGAGACTGACTTTAGGTAAGAAGACTATCACATTTTTTTGTAATTTCTGCCTTTCTGCATTGTCCAACCTGGTAGAGCAAGTTTGTATCACCTTTTTTTTTTTCCTTTTGGTTAAAAAAATAAGAATTCTTTAAAGACCTCACTTACAACGTTCAAAACACTCTACTATGTCATTCTGTGGCAAAGAATTTTAATTTTTTCTCCAAAGAGAAACCAAAGTCTAGGAAGGTTCATCAGTTCTGAAGGTCATGATAATTTCCTAACTTTTCGTTAAATGATTTGAACCACCAGGCCAGTGGTAAGAAAAAAAAGAATGCTATAAAAAGTTAGTAGAATATTGAGAACTACATTAGGTTCAATATTCATTTATTGAACAGGAACTTATTGCATGGTATTCTTAGTTTATAGGTTTGTAAGTACAACAGGAACTGTGGCACAAAGGGTAGTATCATGGTAAGAAGTCAGGGTTCTAGGTGGATTTTTTTAAGTCACCTAAAGTTTCTGTCAGAATTAGAACCTCAGACTGTGGTATTTCTTTTGTCAAGGTTGGTTATTCTAGCCTGTTCTTCATCTCAATGCTTTATTTCTCTTCCTTATCATGTAGCAAGCCCATTTAACATGTTGTGGTCATGTGATGTTTTTCCTATAAATTTATCATAATTGCAATTTTAGATATATAACAATCTACACACTCAAAGAAAATAAACCTTCTAATGAGGACTCAAGCTAACCACCTTGGGGAATTGCTCTTTTTGATTGTATTTTAAGGCCATTAAAATATTTGTTTAGTGATTTATTCGTCCTGGAGACAGATGTAAGGATCAGTCTATTTTTCACGTTACACTGGAGTTTTCTTTTTAAATATTCTCCTTGGCCTTGTGGTGAAATGTGCATTATGATACTTCCTCACAGTGACACATGCAAAAGCATTATTCATCAAACAGTATTTTCAAGCACACTTCTCATTATTCTTTCAAGTATATAAACATAAGGAAGCCCTGTACTCTTCCCGCAATATAAAAAGAATCAAAGATGTAGTACCATTTCTGACCCACATGGACTGCATTTTAAGGACAGGGTCACCATATTTCACATGAAGTTCTCTCTTGTTCTTTTTCCTCCCTCCCCCTCACCAAATACATAACTGTACTTGGTCTGATGGTAAATCAAGGTAAATGAGACGTGACCTATTAAAAAGGAAATGAATAATTCGAAAGAGGGGAAAATTGCATTCCTGTCTAGAAGTATGGACATCATGACTTGAATGTATAGGTTTATTCCACCACTTCACTAGATGATTTTGCTTTTTGGGTGGCATGTCTTCCATCATCCAAATTACCTCATGAAATCAGCAAAGTAAGTCAAACCACGTTTTGGTGCTCTCTACTTTCTATTTTTTTCATGGTTCTTTTTAATGGGTTCTTTTTAATTAATGGGTGTACGTATAGCCGACCTATCTTTGAGGGGTCTGTGGGAATAGTTCTTTTTAAACTCTCTAAAATTTGATCCACAACAGGAATTAAATGATCTGTGTGAGCAGGCACACAGGTCAATGTTTCACAGGCAAAACTCTTAATAGAATCCCTCATGTCTTCTAAGTACCAGTTGAGCCAGCCTTGCCCCTCCTTGCAGAATGTGGAGGAGGCGGTGAGGTTGGGGACCCATTCTCAGGAAGTCACTCAGTCAGCTCCTTCATGTCCTGGGGGCCAGCCTGGGAGGCACAAGGCTCATCCAAGGAGGCCAGGTCTACACAATCAGTGAAAAGGGTCAGAGGGTAGAGGTTCTTTGGCTGCAGGAGAAACAGAATGTTGTCTGGGTACCTCTACTAAATGCCATGAGCGACGTGGCTTTGATCAGGCAACTCACAGAAAAACCACTGAGGCAGCCAGTTCCCTAGGCTCTGTGTCCCTTGTCACTGTCTTGAGAATTGCCGTGTCCTGGTCTTTGGACAGCTTTTTGCTTTATTTTTCTCTTTTTACTTATAGCAAGGAGGGAGGGGAGAAAAAGAGGGTTTTTTTTAATTAATTAGTTTATTTTTGGCTGCATTGGGTCTTTGTTGCTGCGAGCGGGCTTTCTCTACTTGCGGCGAGTGGGGGCTACTCTTCGTTGCAGTGCACGGGCTTCTCGTTGCAGTGGCTTCTCTTGTTGCGGAACACGGGCTCTAGGCGTGCAGGTTTCAGTAATTGTGGCTCACGGGCTTCAGCAGTTGTGGCTCGCGGGCTCTAGAGCGCAGGCTCAGTAGTTGTGGCACACAGGCTTAGGTGCTCCGCGGCATGTGGGATCTTGCCAGACCAGGGCTTGAACCCGTGTCCCCTGCATTGGCAGGCAGATTCTTAACCACTGCACCACCAGAGAAGTCCCTGAAAAAGAGTTTTGATACATTATAATCATCCGTGTTTTCTCCTTATGGAGTGAATAGTTCCTCTTATTTCTAGCCGGTCAAGGCCAGTGTTGAGAGTAATAAGGAATAAATCTCCCTTACTGTGATTAAAGCAACCATTAGAAAACAGGCTTTGCTGATGGACTTTTTTAATATTAGTTTTGGTTTAAAGCAATGGGGGTTTGGGGGGAGGAAAGCCCTCTCCAGTACACTGCTGCAGGAGGGATGCAGCAGGGGCCCATGAGAGCTGCTATTAAGTGAGTGCTTCTCTCAATAAGGGAGTCCTTAGGGCTCTTACTTCTAAGTTACTTAAAGAGTTACACGCACGAAATCAAGAAAGGAGATGTGTTTGCAGGTGTCTTTACAAAACGTAATGATGAAAAAGCCTGAGCTGCCTGTGACAGACAAAAGCAAGGTGCAGGGAACCATAGGATAACTTCAGACCATAGCGTAAAGTGTTGGGAAAGTCAGTTCTCTTAGAAAAGGGATTCAGTTGTACTGAAGTATTGTGAAACGGTGATACTTTAGCCTTGATGTATAAACGTTCCTAAATCTTTCAGAAATTGAGGAAGAACATATCAAGAGCCTGACATTTATAGAATTACCAAACAGTGTCAGGTCACTGCCAGAGAGCACTTCTAAAACAGAGTCTACAAATGTGAAGTGTCATGTAACCATTTCATGTTAACAACGATCATCATTGTGATCACGACTAAAATGGCCTACCTGTGCTTTCTGCTCACATAGAGATATTTGCCTTGCAAATCTGCCAGTTGCTAAGTTCTGAAATCTGTAGGCCTGAACTACATTTGGATTTGCACTCTCTCTACCTCTCTCTCTCCCTCTCTTCATGTTTCAAAATAACATAACAGCTTTTGGAGCTCTTTATAACAGCCCCAAACTGAAACAACTCAAATATCCAGCGCTAGGTGAGTGGATGAGCAAATTGCGGTACATCCATATGATGGAATCCTACTCAGCAACAGAAAAGAACAAACTACTGTATACAGCAACATGAACGGATCTCAGAAATGTTATACTGAGATAAAAATATATATACAAAAGAGTACATGCTGCATGATTCAATTTATACGAAATTCTAGAAAAAGCAGAACTAATCCGTAATGACAGAGGGCAGATCAGCGGTTTCCTGGGGCTGAGGTGGGAAATTGCCAGCAAAGGAGCACAAAGGAACTTTTTGGGTGATGCAAATGTTCTGTGTCATGACGGTGGTGATGGTTATAATGGTGTATACATTTATCAAAACTCATCAAAATGTACACTTAAAATGGGAGCATTTTATTGTATGTGAATTTATCTCAGTAAAGTTGGTCTTAAAACAAGAGCTGAAAACAGCATCAACAACAAAAACTTGGCCCAGGAGTATTTACTTGGATCATGGGAAGTGTCTGTGATCTGAGGGGAAGCACACCAAACTGTTAGTTTTGGTTCCTCCCAGGGAGTAGGAATTGGGAAGAGAGATGAGAGAGATGTATTTTGTTTTGTTTTATTTACTTTGTGCCCTTTCTTATAAGTAGGTATTACTTTTGTACTCAGAAGAAGAAGAAAGAAAAAAAGATAAAGTCCCGGATAAGATAAAGGTATGCTGAGAGAGACCACCCCTTGTTCCTAATGTGCTTACCCTTCTGGGATGGGTGTAGCTATGTGTGTGGTTATTGTGTGGTTAAATCAGCAACAGGCTACAGGCTTGCAAGGGGGCAAGTCTCTGTAAGATCCCCTGTGTGGAGGCTGAGGGCCCATAATCTGGGTTGGGATGTGTTCATGGGGGCACAGCTTCCCCAAGCAGAGAATAATAGGGGGCCAGACACATAGCCACGGGGATGGCTGGAGGCAGGTGACGCCAGCCCCACGGGGACAAGAGTGTAAAAATCTTAGGATAAGGGCCTTGGGGCTTCCGAAAGATCTTCCCTGATTTTGCAGGGATTCTGTGTTCCTGCCTCGCAACCCCCGAGGTTTTTAGTATTTCTTTAAAAAAAAAAAAAAAAAAAAAAAAAGTTGGCCCATCTCAGCTGGGTTAAGGGGAATAAGAAAACCTTTTGTATTGTTTCATTTGTTTTGTCACTGAGTTTCAGAGAAAAGGAGAGCTGGGTGTCCTCGATGGCCAGACTTGGTGGTGACTGAAGGCATAAAAATGAGGAGTAAAAGCCAAGGCTGCTTGAACAGACGTCCCTCACCCCGCAGCAGTTCTTCCAGGATTTTCTGTGAAAGTTTGGGGGCGGGAGGTGGAGAGAGAAGTGGTTGGTTATAATAACCTATACCCAATAGAAAACAACTATTTAAAGATTAGCTGCACTGTAATGTGCCTTTCCACATGGCAAGAAGCGAGTTTGGTTGGCCCCTGTTTGCCAGGGTGATTTACAGAAGCCTTTGAACACCGATGCTTGTGGCCCTGAGAAGGCCGGTGACTAACTGACCTGTCTGTGTATGGTCCACTTCGGAAACAGAAACTTCCCTGGTGGCATGGGAAAGAAAACACCAACCTAATCCTGAAAGAGTAACTTTAAACCAAAGCCCAACCGAGAAAGAGAGCGGGAGAGAGACTGCCAGCCGAGCCAGGCCAGAAATAAAAGTCCCATTGTCCCGGCTGAGGCCAGCTCCAGGCGCAGACGCCCACCCCTCCTGCCTTGCTCTGCACGCTGACACTTCTGGTACCCGAGAGAGTGCATTCCAGAGGTGGGCAGCCTTCACACAAAACTGCAGCTGGAGGAGAAATCACGCTGGAGGCACGAGGGTGTCGGGTATGGGGAAGTTATGACACGGAAAATCATTAAACACTGATGGAACCAACCTCAAACCTGCCAAAAAAACAAGGATGATGAATCTGGGAGGGTTGAGTCCATGAGAGGAGAGCAAGGGGTGGGTTAAGAATAGGGGAGGTGAGAAAGGGGAACTGTCCTGACTCAGCTAGAGCAGAGGATGAGGACCCTGCTCCAGGAAGGAGTCCAGGTCCTAGAAAGTTTTAGTGGTTATCAGGGCCCTGGCAGCTCAGGCAGCAGCTCACTTTTGGGGGCAGGGACGTCTGGGGCCCATCTGCTTAATAAAGATACATCGCAGGGGTAAAAAGCCCCAAGATAAAACATTTAAAATAAGAGTGGATAGATCATCAACAGAAAACAAAGTGGAAAGAGATGGGATGGAAGTCAGGAGCCACTGATTTTAGTCTGTGACCCCAGCAAGTCACCTGCCAGTTCTGGGTTGGACATCAGAGTGAAGTGGCTGGGCCCCACCTCTGCTATCCCTTCTCCATCTGGTGTTCTGAGATCCTCAGCATATGTCTCCTGGGTCCAAAGAAGAGGTTGTCCTTACCTGCCTACTTTCCTCCTGTCATCCCATTCTCAGGACTGCTCTCTAGAATCTCCAAGGTCTCCCCCAGCTGGGAAATCGCCCCATTCTCTGACTGAAACCTGTTCACACCAGAAGTCTCAACCCCTCAACCTGGACGAAGGTGGAGAAGGGGAACTTGGAGGG